CATTTAGGACCCATTATGGCCATTATGAGTTCTTGGTGATGTCGTTTGGGCTGACTAATGCCCCTGCTGCCTTCATGGACTTGATGACACGTGTGTTCAGGCCATACCTTGATTTATTTGTCATCGTCTTCATTGATGACATACTGGTATACTCGCGGAGCCGGAGTGAGCATGAGCAACATTTGAGGATAGTACTCCAGACTTTGAGAGATCAGCAGTTGTATGACAAGTTCTTAAAGTGCCAGTTTTGGTTAGACTGTGTAGCGCTCTTGGGGCATGTTTTATCGAAGAAGGGCATTATGGTAGATCCGACGAAGATTGAGGCTATTCGTGATTGGTCTAGGCCCACCTCAGTTACTGAGTTTAAGAGCTTCGTCAGACAAGCAGGCTACTGCAGACGATTTTTGGAGGGTTTCTCTACCTTGGCAGCACCTCTGACCCAGTTGACTCATGTTGATGTTTCCTTTGTTTGGTCAGAGGGGTGTGAGGCGAGCTTTTTGAGGCTCAAGGAGTTATTGACCACCGCTCCTATATTTACTCTTCCAGTTGAGGGCGAGGGCTTCATGGTTTATTGTGATGCATCTAGCGTAGGTTTGGGTTGTGTATTGATGCAGCAAGGCCGGGTTATTGCTTATTCGTCTAGGCAGCTTAGGATTCATGAGCGCAACTACCCCACCCATGACTTGGAGTTGGTGGCGGTAGTTTTCGCACTAAAGATTTGGATGCACTACTTGTATGGAGTTCGATGTGAGATATATATCGAACAGAGGAGGTGATCTCTTTTATTCGTGCTAGGAGGCTAGTGGCTAGTGGATGCCTATCATATTTGGCCTATGTGCATGATGTGCGTAGGGAGGTTCCTCCGGTTCAGTCAGTTCCTGTCGTTCGTGAGTTCTTAGATATGTTTCCTACTGACCTTCCTGGCCTACCCCCGGAGCGTGATACTGATTTTCCAATGGAGCTTGAGCCAAATACTCAGCCTATTTTTATTCCTCCATATCGGATGGCTCCTGCAGAGCGTAAGGAGCTCAGTGTTCAGCTTCAGGATCTCTTGGGAAAGGGATTTATCTGACCTAGTGTATCATCTTGGGGTGCTCCCATTCTTTTTGTTAAGAAGAAGGACGATACGATGCGCATGTGCATTGACTATAGGCAGTTGAATGAGGTGATAGTGAAGAATCGATATCCTATGCCTAGGGTAGATGACCTATTAGACCATCTACAATGAGTTTCCGTGTTCTCTAAGATTGATTTGGGGTCCGATTACCACCAGTTGAGGATTAGGGCAGTGGGCATCCCTAAGACTGCATTTAGGACCCGTTATGGACATTATGAGTTCTTGGGGCATGTTGTATTGAAGGAGGGCATTATAGTGCCAGTTTTGGTTAGACTCTGTAGCGTTCTTGGGGCATGTTGTATTGATTGGGCTAGGCCCACCTCAGTTACTGAGTTTCGGAGCTTCGTCGGACTAGCAGGCCACTACAGACGATTTTTGGAGGGTTTCTGTACCTTGGCACCACCTCTGACCTGGTTGCCTCGTGTTGATGTTCCCTTTGTTTGGTCAGAGGAGTGTGAGGCGAGCTTTTTGAGGCTCAAGGAGTTATTGAGCACCGCTCCAATATTGACTCTTCCTGTTGAGGGCGAGGTTTCATGGTTTATTGTGATGCATCTGGCGTTGGTTTGGATTGTGTATTAATGCAGCAGGGCTGGGTTATTGTTTATGCGTCGAGGCAGCGTAAGATTCTTGAGCGCAACTACCCCACCCATGACTTAGAGTTAGCGGCGGTAGTTTTCGCACTAAAGATTTGGAGACACTACTTGAATGGAGTTTGATATGAGATCTATATCGAACACAGGAGTCTTCAGTATGGGTAGCCTAGCCTTCTTATCTTATATGTTGATGAGCGACCCTTGGCTATGGACATTCAATTCTTAGGCAATAGCATGGTTCGGTTGGATATCTCAGATCCTAGACGTGTTTTGGCCCATATGGGAGTTAGTCTTCCTTGGTTGATAGGATCTGTGGTTGTCAGTTTGAGGATGAGGC